CAGTGCAGGGTTGGTCCTTTTTACAACATCTGCCACCCGCAGCTGAACCCTGTGCCCTGCACAGCGAGGGGCTGCCCGATGCTCCACGCAGCAGCCACTTGGCACACAGGGCTGTTTCGGCAACAGGATGTCTCCTGTGTCCCAATCTCACCTCTTGGAGATTCTGTTCCTGGACTGAGAACTAAGCCTGTTCCCTTGCAGGCAAGCCCTGGGCTCATCCCACAACAGATTAAAACCACCAGACATGTTTTAATGTATAGATTGCTCTCATTAATGCTTCTAGTGTCCTGCAAAACACAATCATATCTACTGAGGAGGCACGGCAGCTTCCTCCCAAGGATGCTCTCCTCTCTGTGGAGGGACAGGCTGGCCAGCCGTCCACAAAGCTGGCTGAAGGCAAGAAGCTAATTCTCATACAAAACTCCTGAGAGAGAGATTGAGTTGGGGGTGTATCGGGGAGGGCGGTGGTGGGAAGCTGACCCACCCCTCGCTAGACCCGGCAGGAGGGCAGGGGCAGCAGACGGAGTGGCCAGATGGCCTTGGCTAGTGGTCCTGCTGCGCTGCCGCTCGCTGGGCTCCTCCACCCGCTCGGAAAAATGAGTGTGAACAATATTTGCTAAAGAAAAAACTGGCCTTTGAAGCAGGGGGCTGTGTTTTAGCGTGTGCTTTCGTGCTTATTGCTAGTTCTCCTGACGAGCCCTGCTACAGCATCCTCCCAAGGATGCTCCACGGCTCAGCCCTGCAGCCTCGTCTGCAGGCTCGTTTCAAGGTGTTCCTTCTCCAGGTTTCCCTATTTCCTTGAAATTGGTGTTTAAATAAAGGTGCTATTTGCATTTTTTTTGTCTCATGGCTCCACACGCTTGACCCTCTCATTGCTGATGGAGCTTCCTTCTCTCTTTTTGCTGCTGTCTGAGGGTCATTGTGAGTTGCTAACGCTGCTTTCAACGCGATGCCCCTTGGATGCTGCTGCTGTACAAGTGACCTGAGCCATTCAAATCCTCCTGCATCCCAAACCAGGAATCTTTTGCAGATTCTCACATTAGCTTTGTAAGGCAGCAGGGTGTATACAGAACCATTTCACATGGAAAATATTAAATTCAAGTTTTAAAATTGAAATTTGAAATTTTAAAATTAAAATTTGAAATGTGACATTTGAAAATTAAAATTTGAAATGTGATATTTGAAAATTAAAATAAATTTGAAATTTTAAAATATGTCCCCCACACCCTGGTATGATTTCTGATGTGTCTGTACCAGGTTACAACATCCCTGCTACGTGGAGGCTGCAATTTAAACCCAGCTCAGGGCTTCTGAGGGGTCTGGATTCGGAGCGTTGCAATCGCAAAGCACAAGGGACTATGAAGAAAAGGGCTTCTGAAAGCAGGTGATGCACTTCAGAGTCTTCTTTCTAGGTAATTGCTGCAAGGATTGCTGGTGTTTGGAAAAAGTACGGGGCACAAAATTGCCTGCAGAAGACACGTCGGTCAGAAAAGGCTCGGAAGGGTGCAGAGAGCCAGCAGTGAGTAACGCTTTGGCAGCTCTTCTGCGGACAAACATCTGTACACGGCCACCAAGCAGGAGAAATCGTGGTGTTTAACACTGGAAGCATCTCATCTTCCAAATGCCATCCCCAGCCTTTGTCAGTGAATCCTCATAATGCTCAGCTGAGGGATGGAATGGCAGTAGCAGCGGCTGGAATGAAGCTTTAGACACACAATATGCCAAAAAAAAGAAAGAAAGAAAGAAAGAAAAGGCTCCATGTGTCAACATTTCCTCATCCTCCTTTTCTCCCTGTGGAGCACCATCCGTTGGTCATCACCAACGTGCCTGAGGTGTGGAGGGGCTGGGGCAGGAAGGGTTTGGATCTCCCAGCTGGCATGGCCAGGAACTGGCTACCTGGATCCAGTTTGGAGCATGGCACAAGTGCACCGAGGTGGCACCGGGGACATGGCTGCTTTCGGCACAGCGTGGGGTTGAGGGAATTTAAATTGTCTTTACCAAAATATTCCTGTGTGCTGGGAACTCCTGAAGCCTTGGCTTGGTGCTGCCTTCACTAGGAACAGCTTCTATGACTTATTTCCTCAGATAAAATGTTACCTAGAGCGAGGGGTGGGAATAGAAAATGTCCACAATGCTGATTGCTGCTGATCAAGGTGTTCTGACAGAGCTTAATAACAAAAGACCTGCAAGCCACCAGCACACCACGTCTGGCCCTGAGCTCTGGGTCTACCAGTTACATACACTTTATACACCAAATGTAACCAACGTTCCACTTTTCATTCCTCATTTGGACACTCAACACATATTTGGATGGTAGGTGTCACTGGTGGGACCCAGCCACCCATGTGGGACAAGCTTCAGAAGCATCTCCAGGATGCTCCAGGTTCAGGAGCAATCCTTCTGCATTCCTTCAGCTAATTCCCTGTCCCTCCTGCAGCAGAAGCACCATCCCATTGCCATTGGCTGGTCCCTTCCAAGAGAACTGAGCAGGTGATTCCTGTTGGGAATCCTTTCTTTGGAAAACCTTCCATTGACTCTGAAAATCCTCAACTAAACCAAATCCAAGGACACATGCAGGCCTTGTGTTCAGTGTTCCTTTGGTTTATGGTTGTACAGCACAGCGTGCCAACATTAAATGGAGCTGGGACCCAGGAGAACAGGAGGTGTGGGTGGGATGTGCCATGAGGAGCCAAAAGGGGCTCCTGGCTTTGCTGTCCAGCTGGCTCACGGTGAGAGCTGATGTTGCTGGAGGTATTTTAAGGCTGTAATGGTGAAGAGAAAGGTGAGTCCTCACCTGTGCCAGCACAGGGGAGGCTGAGACCTGGCGTTACTGCTGGGAGTGTCCAGCAGAGCAGCAGTGGGTCCTCCCCGGGCAATAGTTAATATAGTTTTATCATTGAATGCCATGTAGGGGGTTGTTACTGACACCACTGTGCTGGGCTGTGAGCTGGTTAGATGGGTGAGAGCCACCGTGGTTTTCCCTGAAGACCTGCCCTGGGGTGGTCCCGCTCACATCCCTGGCTGGGGTTTGTCACGGATGTCCCACGAGCACTGTCCCAGCAGAGCACAACCTCTGATGGGGACTCTCCTCTGGCTCCATCCCATCTGGCCCTTCTCTTCCATCCTCCCTGCTGCCTCAACCTGCCTCATCTCCCTTCTGCAACTTCTCTCCCAAACCACCCCCCACAAGCTTCCCCCACCACTCCTCTCCATCCTGTGCCATCATTCCTGTTCCTCTCCCTGCCTCTCGCTCACCTGGCCCCTCACCTTTGGGCTGTGCTGCTTTAGGCTGCTCCCACACCATCTCTCCTAGATGGACACAGTGAGAAAAGACATATTGACCCTTTTGGACATGGCACTGGAGAAAGCTCGGACCTCCTGAGACCTGAAAGACAGCCCTAGCTTGGGCTCCCAAGAGAGGACAGCTGAACTTGTGGCTGGCCTGGAAAGACATTTTCCAGGATTGTGGACTTTTAAGAGAAGGCAGAGAAGAGGCAGGGATCAGCATTGCCTACCTGCCCACTGGTGCAGGTGGCTCTCAAGTGGGACGTTGGAGGTGGCACTACCCTCAACCTTTCCACACCTCTTCCCCTGCCCTTCTCTCTCTTCCTTGCACTTCTCCTTCTACTCCATCCCTTGGCTCAAATCACCTCTCTGAGCCTTCCCTTGGCACTACATGGCCAGTATAAACCATCCTTCTCACTTTAGATACTGGTAAAGAGATGCCCTGACTGGAAACACCAAACCTGGAGCCATCACTCTTGGATGTCCAGGCAGAAGATTACACAGACAAGCTACCTGGTTCTGCTTGGCCAAGGAGCCTCCAAGTGCAAGGTCAGGTTCTCAAGGGTATTTAGATGCCTGAGGTGCGATAAAGAGCCATGAAGCTCCCTCACACCTTGCTGTCACCCAAGCACGGTGAGGTTTCCCAGAACACCTCTCTGCATTTCAGCTACTTGAAGGTCAAATTCTGCCTACAAGAAGCCAGCACTAAATATTTTTGGTGCACCTCAACGTTTCACGGCTGAAGTCTGGAAAGAGACGCTGCGTGTTTGTGCTGAAATCACTTAGGCTGGGAGGTGCTTTGGGAAAGGTCACTGGGTACCTCGCCATGATGCCTCCACGCGCGGGGTCCCCATCAGGACACCATCCCTGGGGCATCCTTGGTGTCTACGCTCCAGTGGTCCAAGCCCAGCAGCTCCGTGGCACCCAGCAAAGCGTCTAAGAAACGAGTTACTGAAACGACTAGACAAATTTTAACATTAACTTTTGAAAAACTTGAGGTAAAACTGTTACTGGTAACAAATGTTTTTAGACAAGGCTTAGTAGGTTTTGTTACTGTGTCCATCTTGGACACCAGCAGAAGTGGACATGGCTGGTTTACTTGTTCAAATAGCTGTCTGGAAAAAAGGAGAATATACAAATCCAAGCTGTGGTGGCTGCGTTCAACACCAACCCCTCTGCCTTTGGGGTAGGAACTGGAGCTGTAAGGCACCCTCGAAAGGATCATGTTGGATCTAGCACTTCCAAAAGGAATAGTGGGTTGTTTTTTTTTTTTTTAAAAAAAGATAAATAACTAGCAGAATTAATTATCCCTTAATTTCAAGGCAAAAACCAAAAGATTTTGGTTCCAGACCGCACTGCTGCTGGTCAGTATTTTAAGGCTTTGATTTTTTTTTCTCTTTTTTTTAAAAAACTGAAGTATATTTTTGTCTTTTGGCAGTTGAAATGCACATGGTGGGGAATGCGTAAGCTCCCTCTACAGCACTGTGGATTGGAAGGGAGGAGGAGAACAAGGTAGCGAGGGAATGAACCGAAAATAAACCCAAAGGAAATGAAACGGGGCTGGGGAAAGCAGAACTCGCTGCAAAGTTTTCTGGGGTGGGAGGAGGGATTTATCTATTTCTTCCTCATCATCTTCTGAGGAGGAAAAAAAAAGAGAGTGAGGACCTGTCTGCAGGACCGGAGGAGAGGAGAGGAGGGGAGGAGAGGAGAGGGCTTTAGTAGAGTCCGCATCCCCGCAGGTTATTGGCGATGATGACATCCGTGACGGCGTCGAAGACGAACTGGATGTTGCTGGTGTCAGTGGCGCAGGTGATGTGCGTGTAGATCTCCTTGTTGGGGGACTTGTTCTTGCTCTCGTACTGAGCCTGGATGTAAGCCACCGCCTCTGTGAAAGAGTTGGGGCCTACAAGAGAGCCGAGATGAAAGGAAAAAGAGCCAGTTAAAGCAATCCTGAAACCTTCCAGCTGTAGGATGCCTGCAAGCACCCTGTTGTAGGGACTTGGGGAGATCGTATGGGGCTGCTGCGGCCCAGCTGCCACATCTCCATCCCAGGGATAAGCATTGTCTCCATCTCAGGATGGGCACTATCTCCATCTCAGGATGGGCACTGTCTCCATCTCAGGATGGGCACTGTCTCCATCTCAGGGATAAGCACTATCTCTATCTCAGGATGGACACTGTCTCCATCTCAGGGATGGGGACAATCTCCATCTCAGGATGGGCACTGTCTCCATCTCAGGATGGGCATTATGTCCATCTCAGGATGGGCACTGTCTCCATCTCATGATGGGCACTGTCTCCATCTCATGATGGGCACTATCTCCATCTCAGGGATGGGCACTATCTGTCACCAACCAGGGTTGCTGCAAGGAAGGAGATGCTCTCCAACTGTCAGCTCAGCTGTATTTTTATTCCGAATTGCTGTTTATAGTCTATAGAGATGAAATGGATGAGGGAACTGAGGCTACGAGGGGAAAAACCAGAAGAAATTCCATATCATGTTGACAAAAAAGAGAAAAAAAAAACCTGCCAGGAATGTGGAAAGTGCTTGACATGGTGTAAAGGTTTAGGTTTTTTTTTTTCCTTTTTTATATTTTTGATTAAAATTTCAGCTTTTGATGGAAAAAAGGAGCTAAAATGTCCATGAATTGAAGGCAGTATTGGTAACTGTGTCCTCCTTCCCCTGAATCACTAAGAGAAAAGGCCATGAAAAGATCCAGCCTCTGTTAGAGAGCAAAGTGGGGTTTTCTCAACCAAAATCCAAAAAAAGTTAATATAAAACATGCCTCTTTTTGAGAAATTCAGGCTGTAGCACCCTCTGCTCCAATCATGCCACCAGGAGTTTCTTGGTTTGATGTACAGAAATGTCTGCACCAAACCTTATTGACCATCAGGTTTTGTGTTAAAGAATCCTAAGAGCCGTCACCCAGCAGAGCAGATCCCTTCTCATGGGGGATCACACACACAGCTCCGCTCGGACGCCTGCTTAGGTCCAATAAACTCAGTTTCTCTGAGTGGCCGGGACTGCAGCCCCTCTTGCATCCCCCACCCTTCGTGACACTTTATTGATGGGAAATATTGTGATCTGCCTGAGAGGAGCTTACTTGTGCTGTGGCTGGAGGCAGTTGATCTGGGAGATGACTTGTTCTTACATGTAGAATCATAGAATCATAGAATGGTTTGGGTTGGAAGGGACCTTCAAGCTCTTCCAGTTCCAGCCCCCTGCCATCAGCAGGGACACCTTCCACTAGACCACGTTGCTCAAAGCCTCATCCAACCTGGCCTTCAACACTTCCAGGGAGGAGCAGCCACAGCTTCTCTGGCCAACCTGGGACACTGTCTCACCACCCTCACACCAAAGAATTTCTTCCTCACATCTCATCTCCATCTCCCCTCTTCCAGTTTCAAGCCATCACACCTTGTTCTGTCACTCCCTGCCCTTGGCCAAAGTCCCTCCCCAGATTTCCTGGAGCCCCTTCAAGTACTGGGAGGCCACTAGAAGGTCTCCCTGGAGCCTTGTCTTCTCCAGGCTGAACAGCCCCAACTCTTTCAGCCTGTCTTCATAGGAGAGGTGCTCCAGCCCTCGCATCATCCTCGTGGCCTCTTCTGGACTTGTTCTAACAGGCCCATGTCTTTCTTGTTTTGGGGGCTCCAGAACTGGACACAGTGCTCCAGGTGGGGCCTTAGAAGAGCAGAGTAGAGGGGGAAATGTACATGCGCTGCTAGTTGAAGACACAATCTCATGTAGATCATGAATTAATCATGAAGTTACTTGAACTAAGAGAAGCACAATGTTTTCTGGGAGCAGGTTCTTGCATGAAGATCCACGTAAAGAATTTGGGAATGGTTCCACCTGCTGTGCACAGCCAGGAGGGTATTTAATGCAAGGGATGTTGGTTGTTCAAAGGCAGGAGGATTTAGATGCTGGATTCCTTCCGGGAGAGCAGGGAATCACTAATACCAGCTTGGTTTAAAACACACTCCGGATCCTGCTGCTGCTTTGCTCAGTATTATGGATTATTTAAAAGCATGAGTGAATTAAGGGGATGGAAACAGTCAGAGCTCCAGCATACAGCGAGTGAATTTGTGGATGAAGTCTTCTAATAATTCTTTGTCAGCAGAACTAATGGACATCAGAAACTTCATTTTATTAAAAGCATTTTGTGGAACCGACCTGTGATGTTGAAAGTCCACTTGTTTGATTTATAGGCTTTCATCAAATAATTTTTTTTTTAACTCCAGGACAACTTTCTAATAATGCTGCTTTTTCAGAAGGCCACAAGGGCTTCATCTTCTGAACCATGGTCAGCAAAGCAGGGGTGAGCCAGCTTAAGTGTCTGCTTGGGTCTAAGGTCTGGGCTTAACGTTAGCACGAGCTAACTTCCAACTTTTAATGACATTGCTGAACCCCTTGGGGTGAGATATTCTTCATCTCTGATTCAGATCCCCGTTGGATCAGTGGAAGGACTTCCAGCCTTCTTCGATGACATGAGAGAGAAAAGAGGTCTGTGGAGGGTCCCCAGCATTGTGATAAATCTCAGCTTCCAGAATGGCACCTCGAAAGAATTTGGAGCATCTCTGGGGTACTCTGAGATTTGGGGAGGACTGATTGGGTTCACTTGAGGCTGAGGTACTCCAGAAACAAGCTCTATTGGTTTTCCTCTGCATGTGTACGAGGGTCTGCTCCGCTACTGAACCCCTCTCTTGGGCTGGGATAGCTTGGGAAGGAAAAGTTATATCTAAACCAACATTCCTCCTTATTCTAGTCCCTCTGCCATCAGGAATATGTAAGAACATTATTTCTGAGCGGGGTTACTGGGAGACTTCAGTGAAGGTCCACAAAACCATGTCCACAAAATGTGCTCCGGAAGGAGTGAAAGGTGAAGGTTTGCTTCATGGAGGGAAGAGGGCATGGCAAAAATCTTCCAGTACATAGAAGTGCTGCTATAAAGAGGATGGTGACGAACTGCTCTACAAGCCACCCAAAAGATGGCAAGCAGCAATCTAATTTGCAACCAGAAAAACTTGGGGTTGGCATATTGTGAGCTTTCAACTGTAAAGACTGTGAAATGTCCATGACTAACGTATCAGGAATATGTTGGTTCTGTCTGGACCAAGCAGATGAGTAGATGGCTGAAATGTGTTGGTAGTGACAAATATCCAAACCTTCCCTGGAGAGGCTGCCTGAGGATGTTCTTCTGAATTCAGACGGAGTCGTTCAGCTCCATGGCCACAGACCGTTCAGCCCAAGGCAGCGATGATGGATCGCTTTTGCCTATTCACAGTGAAAATTCAAGTGCTTAGAGATAGGAAACTCTGGTTAATAATTTGTTGGCTTGCCCAGAAATGTGACACTCTTGGTACTCCCGGTTCACAACTATGTTTCCTGACAAAGAGATCTGCTTCTCTGGCTGTCGGCTTGATTCATCTGGATGTCTCCGGTGAGTTTAAATAATTCATGACAATAAAAGTTTATTTTTATGCTGTCTCGGAATGGTAATGAGGGTTTGTGGAAGCTGCTGAGATGCAGCTGCAGCCTTTGCATGGGTGATGTATTCTCATCATTAGAAGGCCAGATGCCAGGCAGCCAGCAGAAACCAGGGCTTGTTGCACACTGCCCTGTTGCAGAGCTTCTGCTCTGATCTCCAAGTAGCACTAAGGCCTCCTTCTCCTCAGCCAAGCTCAGGGCATAGCTGGCTGTGGCTCTCCTCTATCTGAGCTATGGGTTGAGAGGTATGGGTGGCCAGCACATGAGAAAATCAAGCACCTTTTTTGCCATCTGCATTTAACTGCAAGTGTTTCCATGTCCAGATATCAGCAAGCCTGAGAGCAGGGAAGTTCTCTCACCCCTGCACTGGGCACTGGTGAGGCTGCACCTTGAGTGGTGGGTTCAGTGTTGGGCCCCTGACTCCAAGAAGGACATGGAGGTGCTGGAGCACGTCCAGAGAAAGGCAACGGAGCTGGGGAAGGGTCTGGAGCACAAGTGTGCTGAGTTCCCAGCTGAGGGAACTGGGGTTGTTGAGCCTGGAGAAAAGGAGGCTGAGGGGAGACCTTCTGGCTCTGTCCATGTCCCTGCAAGGAGGGTGGAGAGAGGTGGGGGTGGGTCTGTTCAACCAAGGAACAAGTAACAGGACAAGAGGAAATGGCCTCAAGTTGCACCAAGGGCAGTTGAGATGGGAGGTGAGGAAGAATTTCTTTGCTGAAAGGGTTCTGAGGCATTGGAAGGGGTTGCCCAGGGCAGTGGTGGAGTCCCCATCCCTGGAGGGATTGAAGAGTTGTGTAGACACAGTGCTGAGGGACATGGGTTAGTCGGGGACTTGTCAGTGTTGGGTTCATGGTTGGACTCGATGATCTTAAAGGGCTTTTCCAATCCAGGCAATGCTGGGATTCTGATTCTGTGATTCTGTAAAGCTGTTGGGGGTGATTTACTGAAATCAGACTTGGAGGGAAGCTCTAGCTACACATCTCTAGACTCCTTGCCTATGATACACGACAGTGTCAGCCTGGATGGGGAGCACTCCGTGATGCCTTTGCCATGTGTTCCTGTACAGCCAGCTTTCTCATTACCTGTATAATCAGGAAAGCAGATAGTCAGTGGAGATTTCTTAATTTTCTCCTCAAATATGTCCTTCTTGTTTAGAAAGAGGATGATAGATGTATCTGTGAACCATTTGTTGTTGCAGATGCTGTCAAAAAGCTTCAGTGACTCGTGCATGCGGTTCTGCAACAGAAAGGGGAGATCACATCAGGCCTAAAGGCAGCAACTGGAGAACATTCAACATGTACCACACAAAAAAAGAAAAGCTACGATATACATGATAAATGTATGCATACATACAGCTGAACGTATACATACACAGATGCAATCCCTACAACGTCCGACAGACAGTTAGTAACTCAAGGGCATTTCCATGTACAGAGCTGTTTCGATTTTGCACAGCGTATAATTTACAGGATCCCAGCTCGTAGGAATCATCATGCACCATGCATGGATGGGGAGTTACTTTTGCCCTTTGATCAGATTTATGTGTCGGTGTAGCTCATGCAGATTTTCTAGAATGTTTTCATTAATTTTTAAAAAATTTTTGGCTTGTTTGGTTTTTTTTTACTTTCTTGAGTGCATGTGGCACACAATTGGTTGGATACATTAACCAAGGACTGGTGGATCCTTGAATTAATCTAGAGTTGGAAGCAGACATTAAGGCGACATAATTTTGGAAATGACCTTGCCGTGAGCTTTGCCTGGTTTTGTTATTTTCTTTAGTGTTGTTGCCTAAAAGTCGTTGGGCTTTTACTTGTTTTAATTTAATTTATTTTATTTTTTTTAGTTCTCTTGGAAGATAGCTCAACAGAAAGTGTCTGGCAGAGAGGAAAAAAAGTGAAAAAAGAAGAGGAAATAGTATAAAAAGAAAAAATGTAATGAAAGGTGTCTAAGAACAAAGAGACTAGAAGTCAGGCAGCTACCACTGATGTTAGCTCATGCCTCTAGAAGAACATCAGCTACTTGCCAGCAGAAGAGCCGGACATGCACACGCAGCGACAAGTCCGCTTTTTGGTTATAGGTCATGCAACAAAAAAACCCCAACAAGCTGACACAGAAAAGGAGAAGAGATAAGAGGAATGAAAAAACAGACCAGTTAGAGAGTTGCAAAGTCCACCCCATGGTTTTCCGGTGGTGGAAGAAGAGCTCATGGCAAAGTCAACCAAGTGTCATGTTTCCTGCTGCTTTCAACTCTCAACTTGCTTTTTCTTTCTTTTTTTTTCTCAGTTCAAGAGAAGCTTCATACCTGCCAAATTTGGTGGGTCTCTCAAATGCTCATTTTTTGGCCTTTGTTTGGCTAGATAAGGTCAGACGGCCGAGGAAAGGCTGTGAAGGTGCTGAGGCTGGCGATGTTTGGCGCCCGAGGCTGACGCCGGAGTGCGCACGCCGATCGCGTGGCCATCTCTCAGCCGGGAGCCGGGTAGCGCAGAGAGCAGGCGCGGTGAGGACGAAGCACACCCAAGAGTCAGGGGGGTTATCAAAGGCAAAGCATGGTACAGACCAGACCGGCTCCTCGGCTTTTCCCAGCGGCATCTCCTTGGGACAGCATTCCCAAACCCACTAATCCCCGTACGAGAGTGGTGACAGCGACCGCTGGAGAGATGCTAGAGAGAACAGGGCTGCGCGGTCTCGTGTCTGGAGGGATTTTTGGGTGTAATGTGTCCCCCCACCCCTGATTTGGAAATTTAGAGTGGTGCAGGAGACAGTTGGGGGCTTCACCCCTCTCCTGCTCTGTTTCACGCACTGTGAGCCCAGAGCTTTATTGATAAACACTTTCATTGGTACGCTTTAGCTGGTGCTGGATGTTTTATTTAGAGACAAATGGCTCCGTGGGTGAAGGAAACATCCGATCTGACCCAGAGTGAAAGAAGACGCGCGTGATTTCCTACCAGACCCAAAATGACCAAGCATCTCCCCACTGTGCATTGTACCAACGCACAGGGAAGAGGTGACCACGTACAAATGTGAAAACACATGTACTCGTTGGGTCTCAGTTGCCAGACGTTGCTTATCTGGCTCATCCCGTGTCTGTGTGCTGTTTTCTCTAACCCATTGTGTACTGGTTGGTGTGGGAGCCCCAGAGCAAAGCTCCTCTTTCCTACTTGTGGTGTCAAAATTGTAACCGTGTCGAAACCCGCAAAGGTTTTGTACAGGAGATCCTTGGCCACCCAAAGCCTTTGGGAGGAGAGAAGAGAGTGGAGGGCGGTCAGGGGAACAGAAAGCAAATATAATTAACCGTTTTTTAAGCAGCATCCCTCACAGAACATTTATAATGACATTTTTAACACCCTTGCTGATTTAAAATAAAAACACGGAGAAACACTTGAACACTGCCCATGGGTTAAACCAACAGCTCCTCCTCCGCAGCCCTCAGCTTGGAGGTCACCGTACTTACCAGGTGGCACCTTGGTAAGCATGGCCAGCCCCATGCCATGCTTCCCATGTGGGCAACTGCGCCTTGTGGCATGGGAAGCATCATGGTTCACATCAGTATGGTTATGAACTAGAAGTTGAGGGCTTCGCCTGAGCTGGACTTCACAGTTGGGTGAAGCTGACTTTCCTACAGTAGCAAGAGCATGTAAGGATCCTACAGAAATCCTTCTGCTGCACTTACATGGTTTGATTAATTTGTGTTAATACCTGTTAGGAAATTAGAGTGTTTTCCCAAGCAACAGTGACCAGATGTAACCAGAATATACACACAGCCCAAACCAACACATCCCTGTAGAAAATGTGAGTGACAGTAAAAATCCTCTGTTCCTTTCAAACTCTGAGAACATGTTTCAAAGCTTCCCCAGGCTGCCTGACCTGCCTTTCTGGTCCCTCCCTACACACTGATTTTTCCCCCAGCTCTGTTGGTTGGCTGAGTAAATACAACCACTGCTCTGCCCATTCCTCCTTAGTTACCTGGGAAAGGTTCTGGGTTAAAATCTGCCTTTTCCTTCCCCATCACTAGAGAGATGATGTCATCATTCCAAAGGAAGGAACAGCTTTCTGGGCAAGGGAAAGGTGCAGAGCAATATCCCGGTGAGCAGGTACGGATGCTCCTGTTGCTGTACCTGGGTGCCACGTGGGAAATGCTGTCACATCCCAGGAGGATTCCCAGGTGCCCATGTATGGACACAAGCTATCCTGGTGCTGGAGAACTTCGGGAATGCTTCACTGCCTCCCTTTCCCTTCCCTTCCCTTCCCTTCCCTTCCCAACTGTTATTTGTTCAGTAGATGTTTGTAGGAGACCTCCAAGAGCTCAGGCAGACCCTGGCTGAGACGCAAGGATGAGGAGGCAGTCTCTGGGTACTGCATGGAAAAGGACAGGGTGCTGCTAAAGGAGGAGTGAGAAGTGAAGGCCTCCCACATAATCCCCCTCCTACCAGTAAATCCACAGTGAAAGACCCTTTTAGTCCCTGAAAGGTTCCCCAGGCCCCTCTCAGCAGCACTCGTGCTGTGATGGGGCAGACGTGCCCGCTCTGCTACGAGCCATTAAAGGTCACAACTCCTCCTGCTTTTATATCAAGTGACATAAATTACTTCACTGGCTTTTGGACCCATTGTGCTGCTTTTTCCTACTTTACGTTGGGTCTCTCCTTAAGGAAAGGGCTCTTGAAACATTGGCTTCTTCATGTCACCTACTATTTCAAAATCAATATTTTAAATTATTTCACCTGCAAATACTTTATACCCCAACAAGAAAAGCAGCCCCAGCAGCCACGTTGCAGAGGAACAACCACTCACCCACACAAATTAAAAGTCCAGTTGACTTTTCCTGCACAGGACAAGAGACAGAACTGCTTATAGCTGAGTTCAGATGTCATCGCACAATTGTGTTCCCATAGCTGATGTGAAGGGCAAGCAGCTCTCTACTGAGCGTGAGGGAGAAGGGATGCTGCTTCCCCAGGCAGAAACACACTCATAAACACCATCTTTTTTTCACCAGAGCATGGGAGGAGACCTGGTTATTTCTGCAACACACAGTCAATTCAACCTTTTTTTTTGTTTTCCTTGGTGATGAAGTGCTAACTGTCATGCGAACTGTAAAGACACTGATGGTTATCCTAAGAGCAGGAACTCCATATTCCCCCTCCTGCTTCTATTTCCTAAGATGCTCAAGTCACTTTGTCACTCCTCAGGCAATTTCTGAGCGTTGCAATTCAATTTTCCTTGCCCAATGACAGCAGAGAGAGCGCGCTAACCGGGTCATGCAATGAAATACAAACCAAGAGGGGCCAACGCTAATGCACACCAAGAGTCATCAGCACAATGCTTCAACCCATCCCGTGCTCAGCCATGGGGACACGAGCAATACTTGCGTGTCTTGGCAAGGTATGGGTGACCTAAATATCTTCCTTTCAGATGTGCAGCATGAACATCTCCCTCTCTTGCCATGACTCCTTTGAATTTGCAAGGAAAAAACCAAAGAGGATAGTTTCAGTTCCCATGCCAGCTCCCATACCATTGCTGCCTTTTTTTAAGCTCCATTAGGAATTCCATTCAGAAGGAACATGGTAAATCTACCTTTGTTAATCATGTTCTCCAGTTTTAGCAATCGATATGACTGCTGTCCCTCTCTCCTCCCAGATTACAGATCTGAGGCTTCTCCTCCTGTAACCTCAGCTTATAAAACATCCAGATAGGTCCCAAATGAGACAACATAGCCTCGTTATGCAAAGACATGATTCATGGAGGTGTTCAGTCAGTTAAGGCAGGACGTTCCCACTGTGTGCAAATACAGCAGAGAGCCCTGCAGCTCCTTGTGACCGACTCAGGAAAGCAGATATGCAGGTGTAATATCTCGAAGACAGTGTCTGGTGTGTTGGATGGGCTGGACAGAAGGTGTAATTCTGCCTTGTGAGCTGTGTCTGTGGGCTGTGACTGGCAGCAAAGGGACTGAGAAAGGCACTGCTTGAATGTCCCTGGAGGTTGGTTGCTCTCCCCTGGCAGCCAGGCACGCAGGGAAGCAGTTTAGATCTGCCAAGAGCGGTGTGAGGAGGGGTTTGGGGCAATGGGAGAGGCTGGATTCAACAGCCAGGGGTTTCTATGCAAAGCCTGGTCTTTATGGGTGTGGGGGCCTAGAAATCACAGATGCAGAAAGTTTTCTTTGTTTTATTTGTGTCTTTCTGATCCGGACATAGAAAAGTACTTGCCTTTCTTGAGTCCTGCAGTTTTGCTCTTTGTGGCAGGGAACTGGAGAGAAAATATATCCCTTATAAAAGACTGTCTGGTCTTATGGCTTCACACACAATGGCAGCTGCTGCAGGAGGATGGGTGCTCGGTCTTTTAAAACAAAGAGCACAACACACCACAAAAAAACTTTCATGAGCACAGAGCCAAGCTTTACTTTTAGGGGCAGAGACGGTCAGTGGGTGCTTCACCAAGCCTTATTTCACCACCTCTTTGCTCAGTCTTGTCTGAAAGGATTCCCAGCAGACCTGTTGTTCATGAGCTTCTTTCAGTGAGACAAGCTGACCCTACAACTACAGCGATCCCAATGCCTCCACACTAACTGAGCTTAAGAAGGCAAGCTCTGCTCCGTGTTGCAGACTGACTTTATCTGACCTGCAGTTTCACCCGCCTCAAGTGTGGTTTGACTGGGAGAAGTGCAAAAAGCCCCCGTGAAGTCTTGTGATTGTCATCAACAGGGCAAGAGGAAAAACCGTTCTCCCAATGCACCAGCTTTGCAAGTGGTGTTTTTTGGGGACATTGAGATGCAGTAGGGCTCTTTCTCTCTCATGGCTCCATGTCAGAAATGGATCTACAAGTCTTTACATAGTCACAGAGACATCTGTACAGCTCTCAAACCTTCAGTGGATTTAATACAGCTGGACTGTAGTAAGCATTGCTATAAAAAATGAAGATGGAGGAAGAGCATCCAGCTCACTCTCTCAGCTGCCTCCCCTTTCTCTTCTCTAAGTGAGAAGCAATAAAAGCTGATTTACGTCATTAAAGCCGGCAGATGTGACGGATGCAGACAGACGGCAAATCAGCTGACTGAAGAGATGCTGCTTTTACTGCTGGGTTTTTGGAGAGGAACAACGTGAGCAGGGAGGAGACCGAATGCTTGGGGGTTCAACTGGGAGAGAATCTGTGGGCGTCATGTTTTCCACCTGCTGTTTAACGCCGGGGGTATAATAGGGCAGACAAGATCTGACACCTTCGTCTCTCCTATTTGCATTGGCCTCGCTCAGGGTTGTTTATTTGGGTTAGGCGGAGGCGTTGCCGAATCTTTTCCCCCATTTATGTGTAAAATGAACAGTGACTGCCTCTGCCCTCCTGTTGCTCAGCATCCCCAGAAATGCTTTGGGAAAAGGGATTGAAATTGCAGGTCAATGCTGAGACAGAGAGGCAGATTCAACTTTGCTTTTGCATCCGGAAAGCAGGCTTTGCCTGCTTTCCAGACGCAGATCCTGGTTTCTGGAAGCTGAGCTGACACTCTGCTCATCACTGGTGCTGAGTGACAGACAGTTGTTGGTAGAGCTCAGCATCCTCAGGAGAGATGCTGTAACATCCATCTCAGAGGAGCTGAGTTAAGGCTGACATTTCAAAAATGACATTCAAACCTTTCCATTTTATGCTCCGTAGCTTTGAATCACAAAGCTCTGTGGCTTGTGAAGACCAGCACCTAAAGGTGACCTGGATTAAAAGCTGCTTTTGGCTTCACACTTTCGGTGTTACACCCCAAGTTACACCTACAGAACACTTTGACCTCTGCTCAGATCACAGTGTGGCTCTCTGCCCCGTGGATCTGCCCTCTCCCTGCCTATTCTTCTTTATCTCCTGGGTGTGTTTCCCCTGCCCAGCTTCAGGGTTCTATGGCATTGAGCTAATGGCTGTTTTTTTTTCAATCCACATCAAGAGATTTTGGTTCTTTCCCAGTAAATCCTACAGGACTGAGCATCCTTGAGCATATCAGGACCAGCGTCAGAGGGAGGTGACAACAGAGGATTATATAGAAGAGGGTGTAGGATGTCTCAGTCAGTCTGGAGGGACATAGTCATGATGTTAATATCATAGAATCACAGAATGGTTTGGGTTGGAAGGCACCTTAAAGATCATCTACTTCCAACCCCCCTGAACTCTGACATCAATATGACCCAACCAACCAAGTGACTTCATCAAACAGTTTGCCAGAGCTCATAAACCTGGCTCAAAGAGGCTGGAAACCACAGCCCTCCCCCAAGTCTTTTTGGGAAGAGACAACTGATAACTCATAGCAATCACTGATCCCTCATCAATAGCTTTCTGCAAGCCTGGCACCTTTACCAGCACGAGAATAAAGATCCTTCAAGAGGCAGAGCTGGCAGGAGCGAGCCCTCTGTGCTGCCACAGGCTGGACATGGATGAAATCATTACCAAAGCTTGAGTGTGGCCTCTGATTCCTTTTTATTAGACAAATGCAACTGGGTGCCTGCCGCAGTCGCTGGTAACCCCGAGAATATGGATCCCCACCACACTGAACGAATGGCCAGAATACCCTCATGAGTCTTCCTGCATCCTTTCTGTGGTTTTAATCTACTTGTATTAATTGCTCTCGAATACCAGGGAGCACACAGCTACTCGCCAGCTTTATTTCCAGATGGTATTTTGAGCTTAATGTCACAGTGGGAAGTCATAAAAACTCTCCTAGAGCAAATTACCTGAGGCATCAAACAGTTCCAGTCTCACTCAAGAAAATGAATTTCTGTAGCCTGAAGAAATAGGTTATTCTCCTGGTCTGAGCCTGCCCCGCGTGTCCACGGCTGTCCTGCACCTCTGCACTGTGGCACAGCCGCTTCCTTGTTTTAAAAGCCCCTCTAGCTCCATCTCCTCCCCCTCTGGATATAAGGTCCCATTAATACGTTTAGAAAACACACAGGTCAGCTAGAAAGGAGAAATAAACCACCGTGACTTTCCAGGTGCATGGAAGCATTACCTGGGCATGCAGGACTTGATTTTGAAGAGTGTGGAGGAGGACAATTTCCCCCCAGGATTTCAGAAATGACCGACAAAAGCACATTACTGTAGCACCCCAGTGAGCATTCGGCGATCTCTGAGCAGCTGCTGGTTACCCAGTTTCCCCTAAAGAAGTGTTGGGGCCTCCAAGACCCTGTTAGACTCACCGTGGTTTCGTCTTCATGGAGCACCTGGTCGTAGCCACTCAGCGCGACGCAGAAAATGATCGCTGTGACATCCTCAAAGCAGTGAATCCACTTCTTGCGTTCTGACCGCTGGCCCCCGACATCAAAGAGCCTACAGCACAAGAGAAGACCATGGGTGCCCGTGCTTACTTAATGATGAGGAAACTTGAGCAGTCTTGGCATTTCCTGACCATAGGATACCTGGAAAGCTCCCAAGACAATGAGTTTGGACACAAAGTCTTTAACCATAGGCTTGGTCTTCTCCTCCAGAGCTTGAAGGAGGACAAGGAGGAGCATTTACAGCCAGGGATATGGGGATTTGTGGGAGAGCCTCAGCAGCATGCTGGATCCCAAAAGGGTCTGTGGAGGTGGAGACCACATGCTCTTGAGTTTTATATGCTCTAAATACTGTGTCTGCAGCTTTCTATCTTCATCCTCTCTCCTCTCTACTGGCCGGCATCATGATGGTCAATATATAGCATTAACCACATGGGACTGACCCACCTTAGAGAAAAGATTTGGCCAAATATTGTGAACAAATTTGGCCAAATTTATGAACTTGATCAGACTTGGGGCCAAGATACGTAAGTTAAACTGAAAGAGGGGAGGTTTAGATTAGATATTAGGAAGAAGTTCTTCACTGTGAGGGTGGTCAGACACAGGAACAGGTTGCCCAAGGAAGTTGTAGATGCCCCCTCCCTGGAAGTGTTGAAGGCCAGGCTGGATGAGGCTTTGAGCAACATGGTCTAGTGGAAGGTGTCCCTGCTGATGGCAGGGGGGTTGGGACTGGATGAGCTTTAAGGTCCCTTCCAACCCAAACCATTCCATGATTCTATGATTCTATGAATATAGCTCCCAATAAAGTGGTGTCATTTGGGTTAGAAGAAGGTACTATGAACACCTCAATAATTTTCAAGACAAGAGCACCAGAGATTTCATCTTGTGTCCTCTGCACTGGCAGCCACCCCTGTGGTAACCAGCAATTTAACAACTTCTCCTTTGGGAATTATGGGGAAACCCTGTGAACAAATAGATGCCTTGAAAATTCAGCGGTAGATGCAGTTTTAGACTAACCTGAAGTGGAGGTTTTTGAATGTGAAGTGGGTTTCTACAATGCCAGTTGTTTTGACCCTGGTTCGGAGGATGTCCTGCTCTGTGGGCTGGTAGTCTGCAGCTCCGATTCGATCTAAGCTGTCTAGGTAGCTAAGAGAAAGAGAAAAGAAAAAGAAAACAGATAAGAATAAGACACACATTCATCTTTCTCAATCTCAGATGAATCCTTCAGCTCCCTCTTAATCTTTTTCAATCTCATTTTTCATGGTTGAATGTATTGTAGTTAAAGGGAAAAAAAATAATAAAAATCCTATTTTGGGGAAAAAGAAACATTAACAAACCCCACTGCTGAAAGCATGAGAACTGATAGTGAACTGAGAGCAGGAAATTAAGCATGTGTGTGTCGTGAGCCCTGCCTGCAATCTGTGGAAATACACAGCTTTAATATTACTTGCTATTTTTATTCCTTGAGGGACGAAGGTCCCAGTTGGTCCATTGTGCTGGATGCTGTAGACACACATGGTTTTTTTTTGTAACATTTTATTCAGACAAGAGGTTGGAGCATATAGGTCATGCTCCCAGAACAGACAGGTTGAGCCAGCTTTGGGAGATGCCTCTGTCTCCACTGGGAAGGGAGGGAGATGGAGCAGCAGGGAGGGAGGTGGAGCAGCTTGCTCTGATGAGCTGCTTTGCCTTCAGTCAGCTCAAATTAAGGGACGCGAATGTGCCCGAGAGAGTCACTGCTTCAGTCTGAAATCCAGCACAGGGCTGGGACCGAGGGAGATGCAGTGCTTGGACAAAATCCAGGGGTCTGCTTAGGTGGTGGAAACCTGGGAGTTTAAATCAGGGGGTTTTTGGGGAGGGTGTAGGAGAGGACAGGCTGAGAGAGTTGGGGCTGTTCAGCCTGGAGAAGACAAGGCTCCGGGGAGACCTTCTAGTGGCCTTCCAGTACCCGAAGGGGCTACAAGAAAGCTGGGAAGAGACTTTTTATAAGGGCATTTAATGACAGAAGAAGGGGAAATGGCTTTAAGCTGAAAGAGGGGAGGTTTAGATGAGAAGTGAGGAAGATATTCTTTGGTGTGAGGGTGGAGAGACACTGGCCCAGGTTGGCCAGAGAAGCTGTGGCTGCTCCTCCCTGGAAGTGTTGAAGGCCAGGTTGGATGAGGCTTTGAGCAACGTGGTCTAGTGGAAGGTGTCCCTGCTGCTGGCAGGGGGGTTGGGACTGGATGAGCTTTAAGGTCCCTTCCAACCCAAACCATCCTATGATTTAGCTTTGGATAGTTTTAAAACATTTACCCTTATTCTGCTCTAGTCTTAAAATCTATGACAATAGGCAGTGCCTCCACAGTCTGAAACTTTGGGCATAAAATCCTGTCTTTTGGTGTGAAATGTTTTTGTAGAGACACCCAACAACTGCGCTTATATGACCACAATCCATTTTTCTCATGCAAGACACTTTTTTTTTTTTTTTCAAAATAACCCAACCAAAGATAATTTATAAAGAAAAGCGGAAGGAATTTGGATTGCAATTGAATACAAATTATAAACACAGAGATGCATCACATAGTAAAGCCTTTCCCACTGCTGTTGAGCTGTACACAGCCACGCTGGTTCCTCTTAAAGGGGGTTTGATGTGCATTAACCTCTAGCCCCAGGAGCACTGAGCACGTGAGATGTATTGAGAGGAGCTGGGTGTTTGTACATGAGGATAAGACATTGTTATCCCTGGTGAGTATGAGTTTACTGGGGAGTACAAGTCAGTATGAGCTGGAACCATTCACACAGGATGGCCATCAAGTCTAAGCTTGACTTCCTCTTTCAGTTTAGCTAAATATGATTTTATTTTTAAACATCTTATTGTCCCAAACACACCGCCCTGTCTTGCCTCTGGAGATGCTTTCCCTGATGCATCAGCAAAGAAGGAAAGGTTTTCCATGTGTGTCCTGGAAGGAGTGCTGTGAGCCAGGACTCTGGAGCAGGATGCCTGGTGTGCTGGGGACCTGCACTCTGCTACCTGAGAAAACTCACTGCCACCAACTTCCATGCCTACCCTGCTAGCCTGGAAAAACAACCAGCCAGCCAAACTCTACATGAAGGTGAGAAACAAACCTGACCCTGCTCGCATCACATATTTTGTCTGCCCATCGGTTTTATTATTCATTTCTGCTAAAGAATTGCAAGAATCGCGTCACCCAGAGAAAAATATATAAGCTAAGCGGGTTTATTTGTATTGTGCCCTTTTTCAAGCACTTAAATCCATTGTGCTTTTGTGACAGACGCTCCCGTAATAGCCTTATGATGGGCCCTGGGCGGATGAATGGGACTTCATTTGGAATCAGGTTCTCCGCTGTGACGGCTGAAGCCACGATCACTCATCTATTCACAACCAGTGTCAGCTCCTGTTACTGAGGAGGCAGCTGCCTTTCTCCACATGTCCCCGCAGAGCGAGGCAGCTCTGCAGTGCTGTTATGCAGAGATCCAGGCTCTCCTCTGTCCTTGGGAACTAAATACTTCAAGGTGATGGTAGGAAGTGGAGGTGCAAGAGAAGGAAGGAAGGAATTTCTTTTCCTCTTGCAGCTCTTGGCAGTACCCTGATGAATTTTATCACTTCCTGCATCTGAATTTTGTGTATTTTTTGATGACCCAACTCTCTTCCATTTTACATTCCCTATTTATGATTCTTGCCTTTGAGATCTTCCTTTAATGCTGGGAGTGCAGCAAATGAAAAAAAAAATCTGCTACAAACTGGCCAAACTGGTCAAAGGACCGGGCATCACAGCAGCTGTGGTGGTTTCAATCCTTTGGCTGCAGCCAAACACAGTCACTCTCCCACTGTTCCCCCACCCAGGAAGCAGGGGAGAGAATTGGAAGGGTAAAAGTAAGAAAACTCGTGGGTTGAGATAAAAACAATTTACTAATTGAAATAAAATAATAATAATAACAGTAGTAATGGAATATGCAGATGAGTGATGCACAGTGCAATTGCTCACCACCCACCAACTGATGCCCAGCCTGTTCCTGGCTGGTGATCCCGGAGCAGAGACAGTCCTGTGGTGGTTTGGGTGGATTCACCCTTTTACTTGCAGCTTGCAGTCAAACACAGCCTGATCTATCACCCTGAAACACTGACACACTGAAACTAAAATACAGCTATTCTAATTACTAAAAAGAAAATTAACTCTATCCTAGCAAAACCAGGACAAGTCCCCAAACCCAAACCGCAGTCCTGGAAGAGCAAGCTCGAGTGATCCCTGAGAGAATCCCCCCATTGTCTGGTGAACCCTGGTTAATATACTGACCATGAAGTGATATGAGATGGAATATCTCATTGGCAGAGCCAAATGCCAATTTAGGGTTTTGCTAATTACTACGCTTTTCCTCTCCCAGTCCTTTGCACTTGCAGACCAGCAAAACACAATGACCTTCAACTTCTGGCAACAACTAAAACCATCAGTATATGATCAACATTCTTCTCATAACAAACCCCACACTGAAACCAAAACACAACTATTCTAGCTACTAAAATGAAAATGAACTCCATCCCAGTGAAACCAGGACAGCGACACGGTGATGCAGGAGTTTGTTACTGTCATTACTGCCTTCAACCTGTGATCATTTGCTTGTGTACAGCAGCATCCTCCAAACCCCAGGTCGTGTGCTGGGACTTCAGGGGGTTCTCACTCTCACTATGGTCGTACACAGTCTATAGCTCTTCCATGTGGTGTTCCTCTTGGCTGCCCGACAGCGAATGAGCCCCAGATGTGATTTGATCCTGCATACAGCCTGGCTCTGAGGCTTGGAAAGCCTCACCCATCTTCATGTCCTTGTCCATGGAGGTGATGCAGCCTCATGTGCCTGGCTCCACCCGAGTTACTTTGGGGGATCAGAGGTTTGGGGGAGCTAAAGCAGCCTGCCAGCCTCTCGTGGGGACAGGATGTTAGCAACACAGGGAGGAGAGCCAAGCAGGATCCATCCCATCCACCCTCTCCTCCCTGACAACATCCAACTTCCAATCCCAGCTAGGATATCTCTGTAGGAACTTTGGTTGGGAGGTCTCTAGCATCTGTCTGGTTGAGGGCACTGCTTCCCAGTGCTTAACTGGTGCTGTGACAGAAGAATATGCACTATCCCCAATACTCAGTCTGTCCTGGTGTCAGATGAGCTGAGCTCTGTGAGCCCAGTGCCTCAGGGTCACTCCCACACTAATGCCCCCAGCCCAGCTGCTGGGCACCCACCTCCCATACCTCCTGCCAACACACCCTTTGCTTCTCCTGCTCTTCATCTCTTCCCCCATCTCTAGTCTTTTCCATCATTCTCCTTGTGTTTCTCCATAACTTAAATTCTTGCAGCTGCCTCGGTCTGCTTTTCACCTGTTCCTGGTACTCTCGATGAGGGTCAGCAATCAATTTATATGAAGGTATACAACATTTCGAGTCCTGGTTTTGAGGCCACATTCCAAAACTGTTTACTCCTTTGGCTGCTCTCCCCTGGAATTTCTCCCATCTCAGGCTGCAGCAGATATTTTTTTTCCCCTGGACTTGGCTGCAGTTGAGCATGTACCCCATGAAGCTCAGCTGGATGAGCGTGCCATGGCCTGGCTGACATGTGGACATCCAGGTGAGATGTTGTTTGGATGCAGGATGCTGATTTTAGCTGCTGCTTGTTCTCCTTGGTTCCTGCTGGAGGTATCTCTGAGGCTTTGCTGGAGAGCTGGTGCTCTCTGCCCACGCTGCTTGGAAGGACCCGGCGGTCTGCTGGGTGCAAGCTTGAGCTGGCAGAGGGTGGGATGTGTTGGGGGTGTCACCTCTTTCGGAACAGGGAAACCCAAGTGGGGAAAAATTGCCACACATGGTCCTGGATAACAGCACCTCTGGTATCACAGCTTGGTTTGGGTTGGAAGGGACCTTAAAGCCCATCCAGTTCCAACCCCCTTGCCATCAGCAGGGACACCTTCCACTAGACCACGTTGCTCAAAGCCTCATCCAACCTGGCCTTCAACACTTCCAGGGAGGAGCAGCCACAGCTTCTCTGGCCAACCTGGGACACTGTCTCACCACTCTCACAGCAAAAAATTTCTTCCTCACATCTTATCTAGACCTCCCCTCTTTCAGCTTAAAGCCATTTCCCCTTGTTCTCTCATTAACTGCCCT